GCAATTCTTATCCGCTAACAGTATTTATTAAGTGCAGCTGGTGTTCTTGTGCAATCTTGCAGAAAACTAAATCGTAGCAGCCAATACGACCCCGACAGGGACTCGAACCCGCAATCTTCTGATTCGAAGTCAGACGCCTTATCCATTAGGCCACGGAGTCTTAAGTACATCTTCGTCCTGTGCCATCTAATTTTTTTTACGAATTCCTATTTACCTGAATAATTGAATATGTCGTTGAGTTCTGCACATCCCCATATTTGCGAATTAGCACCTGGTGAATTTATTCTTGAAATAGTTGCATGTTTAGCTGTGACAGGTGTAGCAGTTCAATTTTGCAGAACACACAATTATTGCGTCGCTATACGACCACGATGTGACTCGGACCGCAATTATGTGATTCGATGTCACATGCCTTATTCATTGGTATTTTATGTAATAGTGTTTTGCGTTTTTTTATAGTGCCACAAGGTGTTTTATGTCTAGATCCTAAAATTCCTGTCTAATTGACTGACTCATCTGATCCAGCACATCAATGCTATCTCTTTAATTTCGCAAATTCTTATCCGCTAACAGTATTCACGACGTATTTTTTATTGAGTGCAGCTGGTGTTCTTGTGCAATCTTGCAGAAAACTAAATCGTAGCAGCCCGTTCGACCCCGACGGGACTCGAACCCGCAATCTTCTGATTCGAAGTCAGACGCCTTATCCATTAGGCCACGGAGTCTTAAGTACATCTTCATCCTGTGCCATCTAATTTTTTTACGAATTCCTATTTACCTGGATAATTGAATAAGTCGTTGGGTTCTGCACATCCCCATATTTGCGAATTTTCACCTGCTAAATTTATTCTTGAAATAGTTGCATGTTTAGCTGTGACAGGTGTAGCAGTTCAATTTTGCAGAACACACAATTATTGCGTCGCTATACGACCACGATGTGACTCGGACCGCAATTATGTGATTCGATGTCACATGCCTTATTCATTGGTATTTTATGTAATAGTGTTTTGCGTATTTTTTATAGTGCCACAAGGTGTTTTATGTCTAGATCCTAAAATTCCTGTCTAATTGACTGACTCATCTGATCCAGCACATCAATGTTATCTCTTTAATTTCGCAAATTCTTATCCGCTAACAGTATTTATTAAGTGCAGCTGGTGTTCTTGTGCAATCTTGCAGAAAACTAAATCGTAGCAGCCAATACGACCCCGACAGGGACTCGAACCCGCAATCTTCTGATTCGAAGTCAGACGCCTTATCCATTAGGCCACGGAGTCTTAAGTACATCTTCATCCTGTGCCATCTAATTTTTTTACGAATTCCTATTTACCTGGATAATTGAATAAGTCGTTGGGTTCTGCACATCCCCATATTTGCGAATTTGCACCTGCTAAATTTATTCTTGAAATAGTTGCATGTTTGGCTGTGACAGGTGTAGCAGTTCAATTTTGCAGAACACACAATTATTGCATCACCATACGACCACGATGTGACTCGGACCGCAATTATGTGATTCGATGTCACATGCCTTAATCATTGGTATTTTATGTAATAGTGTTTTGCGTTTTTTTATAGTGCCACAAGGTGTTTTATGTCTAGATCCTAAAATTCCTGTCTAATTGACTGCCTCATCTGATCCAGCACATCAATGTTATCTCTTTAATTTCGCAAATTCTTATCCGCTAACAGTATTTACGACGTATTTTTTTATTGAGTGCAGCTGGTGTTCTTGTGCAATCTTGCAGAAAACTAAATCGTAGCAGCCAATACGACCCCGACGGGACTCGAACCCGCAATCTTCTGATTCGAAGTCAGACGCCTTATCCATTAGGGCCACGGAGTCTTAAGTACATCTTCATCCTGTGCCATCTAATTTTTTTACGAATTCCTATTTACCTGGATAATTGAATAAGTCGTTGGGTTATGCACATCCCCATATTTGCGAATTTGCACCTGCTAAATTTATTCTTGAAATAGTTGCATGTTTGGCTGTGACAGGTGTAGCAGTTCAATTTTGCAGAACACACAATTATTGCATCGCCATATGACCACAATGTCACTCGGACCGCAATTATGTGATTCGATGTCACATGCCTCATTCGTTGGTATTTTATGTAATAGTATTTTGCGTTTTTTTTATAGTGCCACAAGGTCTTTTATATGTCTAGATCCTAAAATTCCTGTCTAATTTACTGACTCATCAGATCCAGCACATCAATGTTATCTCTTTAATTTCGCAAATTCTTATTCGCTAACAGTATTTACGACGTATTTTTTTATTGAGTGCAGCTGGTGTTCTTGTGCAATCTTGCAGAAAACTAAATCGTAGCAGCAAATACGACCCCGACGGCACTCGAACCCGCAATCTTCTGATTCGAAGTCAGACGCCTTATCCATTAGGCCACGGAGTCTTAAGTACATCTTCATCCTGTGCCATCTAATTTTTTTACGAATTCCTATTTACCTGGATAATTGAATAAGTCGTTGGGTTCTGCACATCCCCATATTTGCGAATTTGCACCTGCTAAATTTATTCTTGAAATAGTTGCATGTTTGGCTGTGACAGGTGTAGCAGTTCAATTTTGCAGAACACACAATTATTGCATCGCCATATGACCACAATGTCACTCGGACCGCAATTATGTGATTCGATGTCACATGCCTCATTCGTTGGTATTTTATGTAATAGTATTTTGCGTTTTTTTTATAGTGCCACAAGGTCTTTTATATGTCTAGATCCTAAAATTCCTGTCTAATTTACTGACTCATCAGATCCAGCACATCAATGTTATCTCTTTAATTTCGCAAATTCTTATTCGCTAACAGTATTTACGACGTATTTTTTTATTGAGTGCAGCTGGTGTTCTTGTGCAATCCTGCAGAAACTAAATCGTAGCAGCCCATACGACCCAGACGGGACTCGAACCCGCAATCTTCTGATTCGAAGTCAGACGCCTTATCCATTAGACCACGGAGTCTTAAGTACATCTTCATCTGTGCCATCTATTTTTTTACGAATTCCTATTTACCTGGATAATTGAATAAGTCGTTGGGTCCTGCACATCCCCGTATTTGCGAATTTGCACCTGGTAAATTTATTCTTGAAATAGTTGCATGTTTGGCTGTGACAGGTGTAGCAGTTCAATTTTGCAGAACACACAATTATTGCATCGCCATATGACCACAATGTGACTCGGACCGCAATTATGTGATTCGATGTCACATGCCTTATTCATTGTTATTTTATGTAATAGTGTTTTGCGTTTTTTATAGTGCCACAAGGTGTTTTATGTCTAGATCCTAAAATTCCTGTCTAATTGACTGACTCATCTGATCCAGCACATCAATGTTATCTCTTTAATTTCGCAAATTCTTATCCGCTAACAGTATTTACGACGTATTTTTTTATTGAGTGCAGCTGGTGTTCTTGTGCAATCTTGCAGAAAACTAAATCGTAGCAGCCAATACGACCCCGACGGGACTCGAACCCGCAATCTTCTGATTCGAAGTCAGACGCCTTATCCATTAGGCCACGGAGTCTTAAGTACATCTTCATCCTGTGCCATCTAATTTTTTTACGAATTCCTTTTTACCTGGATAATTGAATAAGTCGTTGGGTTCTGCACATCCCCATATTTGCGAATTTGAACCTGCTAAATTTATTCTTGAAATAGTTGCATGTTTGGCTGTGACAGGTGTAGCAGTTCAATTTTGCAGAACACACAATTATTGCATCGCCATATGACCACAATGTCACTCGGACCGCAATTATGTGATTCGATGTCACATGCCTCATTCGTTGGTATTTCATGTAATAGTATTTTGCGTTTTTTTTATAGTGCCACAAGGTCTTTTATATGTCCAGATCCTAAAATTCCTGTCTAATTGACTGACTCATCTGATCCAGCACATCAATGTTATCTCTTTAATTTCGCAAATTCTTATCCGCTAACAGTATTTACGACGTATTTTTTTATTGAGTGCAGCTGGTGTTCTTGTGCAATCTTGCAGAAAACTAAATCGTAGCAGCCCATACGACCCAGACAGGACTCGAACCCGCAACCTTCTGATTCGAAGTCAGACGCCTTATCCATTAGACGACGGAGTCTTAAGTACATCTTCATCCTGTGCCATCTAATTTTTTACGAATTCCTATTACCTGGATAATTGAATAAGTCGTTGGGTTCTGCACATCCCCATATTGCGAATTTGCACTGCTAAATTTATTCTTGAAATAGTTGCATGTTTGGCTGTGACAGGTGTAGCAGTTCAATTTGCAGAACACACAATTATTGCATCGCCATATGACCACAATGTCACTCGGACCGCAATTATGTGATTCGATGTCACATGCCTCATTCGTTGGTATTTTATGTAATAGTATTTTGCGTTTTTTTTATAGTGCCACAAGGTCTTTTATATGTCTAGATCCTAAAATTCCTGTCTAATTTACTGACTCATCAGATCCAGCACATCAATGTTATCTCTTTAATTTCGCAAATTCTTATTCGCTAACAGTATTTACGACGTATTTTTTTATTGAGTGCAGCTGGTGTTCTTGTGCAATCTTGCAGAAAACTAAATCGTAACAGCCAATACGACCCCGACGGGACTCGAACCCGCAATCTTCTGATTCGAAGTCAGACGCCTTATCCATTAGGCCACGGAGTCTTAAGTACATCTTCATCCTGTGCCATCTAATTTTTTACGAATTCCTATTTACCTGGATAATTGAATAAGTCGTTGGGTCCTGCACATCCCCGTATTTGCGAATTTGCACCTGGTAAATTTATTCTTGAAATAGTTGCATGTTTGGCTGTGACAGGTGTAGCAGTTCAATTTTGCAGAACACACAATTATTGCATCGCTATACGACCACGATGTGACTCGGACCGCAATTATGTGATTCGATGTCACATGCCTTATTCATTGGTATTTTATGTAATAGTGCTTTGCGTTTTTTTATAGTGCCACAAGGTGTTTTATGTCTAGATCCTAAAATTCCTGTCTAATTGACTGACTCATCTGATCCAGCACATCAATGTTATCTCTTTAATTTCGCAAATTCTTATCCGCTAACAGTATTTATTAAGTGCAGCTGGTGTTCTTGTGCAATCTTGCAGAAAACTAAATCGTAGCAGCCAATACGACCCCGACGGGACTCGAACCCGCAATCTTCTGATTCGAAGTCAGACGCCTTATCCATTAGGCCACGGAGTCTTAAGTACATTTTCATCCTGTGCCATCTAATTTTTTTTACGAATTCCTATTTACCTGAATAATTGAATATGTCGTTGAGTTCTGCACATCCCCATATTTGCGAATTAGCACCTGGTGAATTTATTCTTGAAATAGTTGCATGTTTAGCTGTGACAGGTGTAGCAGTTCAATTTTGCAGAACACACAATTATTGCATCGCCATATGACCACAATGTCACTCGGACCGCAATTATGTGATTCGATGTCACATGCCTTATTCGTTGGTATTTTATGTTGTAATAGTATTTTGCGGTTTTTTTTATAGTGCCACAAGGTGTTTTATATGTCTAGATCATAAAATTCCTGTCTAATTGACTGACTCATCTGATCCAGCACATCAATGTTATCTCTTTAATTTCGCAAATTCTTATCCGCTAACAGTATTCACGACGTATTTTTTTATTGAGTGCAGCTGGTGTTCTTGTGCAATCTTGCAGAAAACTAAATCGTAGCAGCCAATACGACCCCGACGGGATTCGAAGTCAGACGCCTTGTCCATTAGGCCACGGAGTCTTAAGTACATCTTCATCCTGTGCCATCTAATTTTTTTTACGAATTCCTATTTACCTGGATAATTGAATATGTCGTTGGGTTCTGCACATCCCCATATTTGCGAATTAGCACCTGGTGAATTTATTCTTGAAATAGTTGCATGTTTGGCTGTGACAGGTGTAGCAGTTCAATTTTGCAGAAATTATTACACAATTATTGCGTCGCCATACGACCACAATGTGACTTGGACCGCAATTATGTGATTCGATGTCACATGCCTTATTCGTTGGTATTTTATGTAATAGTATTTTGCGTTTTTTTTTATAGTGCCACAAGGTGTTTTATATGTCTAGATCCTAAAATTTCTGTCTAATTGACTGACTCATCTGATCCAGCACATCAATGTTATCTCTTTAATTTCGCAAATTCTTATCCGCTAACAGTATTCACGACGTATTTTTTTTATTGAGTGCAGCTGGTGTTCTTGTGCAATCTTGCAGAAAACTAAATCGTAGCAGCCAGTACGACCCCGACGGGACTAGAACCCGCAATCTTCTGATTCGAAGTCAGACGCATTATCCATTAGGCCACGGAGTCTTAAGTACATCTTCATCCTGTGCCATCTAATTTTTTTACGAATTCCTATTTACCTGGATAATTGAATAAGTCGTTGGGTTCTGCACATCCCCATATTTGCGAATTTGCACCTGCTAAATTTATTCTTGAAATAGTTGCATGTTTGGCTGTGACAGGTGTAGCAGTTCAATTTTGCAGAACACACAATTATTGCATCGCCATACGACCACAATGTGACTCGGACCGCAATTATGTGATTCGATGTCACATGCCTTATTCGTTGGTATTTTATGTAATAGTGTTTTGCGTTTTTTTATAGTACCACAAGGTGTTTTTATGTCTAGATCCTAAAATTCCTGTCTAATTGACAGACTCATCTGATCCAGCACATCAATGTTATCTCTTTAATTTCGCAAATTCTTATCCGCTAACAGTATTTATTAAGTGCAGCTGGTGTTCTTGTGCAATCTTGCAGAAAACTAAATCGTAGCAGCCAATACGACCCCGACGGGACTCGAACCCGCAATCTTCTGATTCGAAGTCAGACGCCTTATCCATTAGGCCACAGAGTCTTAAGTACATCTTCATCCTGTGCCATCTAATTTTTTTACGAATTCCTATTTACCTGGATAATTGAATAAGTCGTTGGGTTCTCTACATCCCCATATTTGCGAATTTGCACCTGCTAAATTTATTCTTGAAATAGTTGCATGTTTGGCTGTGACAGGTGTAGCAGTTCAATTTTGCAGAACACACAATTATTGCATCGCCATACGACAACAATGTGACTCGGACCGCAATTATGTGATTCGATGTCACATGCCTTATTCGTTGGTATTTTATGTAATAGTGTTTTGCGTTTTTTTATAGTGCCACAAGGTGTTTTATGTCTAGATCCTAAAATTCCTGTCTAATTGACTGAGTCATCTGATCCAGCACATCAATGTTATCTCTTTAATTTCGCAAATTCTTATCCGCCAACAATATTCACGACGTATTTTTTTATTGAGTGCAGCTGGTGTTCTTGTGCAATCTTGCAGAAAACTAAATCGTAGCAGACCATACGACCCCGACGGGACTCGAACCCGCAATCTTCTGATTCGAAGTCAGACGCCTTATCCATTAGGCCACGGAGTCTTAAGTACATCTTCATCCTGTGCCATCTAATTTTTTTACGAATTCCTATTTACCTGGATAATTGAATAAGTCGTTGGGTTCTGCATATCCCCATATTTGCGAATTTGCACCTGCTAAATTTATTCTTGAAATAGTTGCATGTTTGGCTGTGACAGGTGTAGCAGTTCAATTTTGCAGAACACACAATTATTGCATCGCCAATATGACCACAATGTCACTCGGACCGCAATTATGTGATTCGATGTCACATGCCTTATTCGTTGGTATTTTATGTTGTAATAGTATTTTGCGTTTTTTTTATAGTGCCACAAGGTGTTTTATATGTCTAGATCCTAAAATTCCTGTCTAATTGACTGACTCATCTGATCCAGCACATCAATGTTATCTCTTTAATTTCGCAAATTCTTATCCGCTAATAGTATTCACCATGTATTTTTTTATTGAGTGCAGCTGGTGTTCTTGTGCAATCTTGCAGAAAACTAAATCGTACCAACCAATACGACCTCGACGGGACTCGAACCCGCAATCTTCTGATTCGAAGTCAGAGTGAGACGCCTTATCCATTAGGCCACGGAGTCTTAAGTACATCTTCATCCTGTGCCATCTAATTTTTTTACGAATTCCTATTTACCTGGATAATTGAATAAGTCGTTGGGTTCTGCATATCCCCATATTTGCGAATTTGCACCTGCTAAATTTATTCTTGAAATAGTTGCATGTTTGGCTGTGACCGGTGTAGCAGTTCAATTTTGCAGAACACACAATTATTGCATCGCCATATGACCACAATGTCACTCGGACCGCAATTATGTGATTCGATGTCACATGCCTTATTCGTTGGTATTTTATGTTGTAATAGTATTTTGCGTTTTTTTTATAGTGCCACAAGGTGTTTTATATGTCTAGATCCTAAAATTCCTGTCTAATTGACTGACTCATCTGATCCAGCACATCAATGTTATCTCTTTAATTTCGCAAATTCTTATCCGCTAATAGTATTCACCATGTATTTTTTTATTGAGTGCAGCTGGTGTTCTTGTGCAATCTTGCAGAAAACTAAATCGTACCAAACAATACGACCCGGACGGGACTCGAACCCGCAATCTTCTGATTCGAAGTCAGAGTGAGACGCCTTATCCATTAGGCCACGGCGTCTTAAGTACATCTTCATCCTGTGCCATCTAATTTTTTTACGAATTCCTATTTACCTGGATAATTGAATAAGTCGTTGGGTTCTGCACATCCCCGTATTTGCGAATTTGCACCTGGTAAATTTATTCTTGAAATAGTTGCATGTTTGGCTGTTACAGGTGTAGCAGTTCAATTTTGCAGAACACACAATTATTGCGTCGCCATACGACCACGATGTGACTCGGACCGCAATTATGTGATTCGATGTCGCATGCCTTATTCATTGGTATTTTATGTAATAGTGTTTTGCGTTTTTGTATAGTGCCACAAGGTGTTTTATGTCTAGATCCTAAAATTCCTGTCTAATTGACTGACTCATCTGATCCAGCACATCAATGTTATCTCTTTAATTTCGCAAATTCTTATCCGCTAACAGTATTCACCACGTATTTTTTTATTGAGTGCAGCTGGTGTTCTTGTGCAATCTTGCAGAAAACTAAATCGTAGCAGCCCATACGACCCCGACGGGACTCGAACCCGCAATTTTCTGATTCGTAGTCAGACGCCTTATCCATTAGGCCACGGAGTCTGAAGAACATCTTCATCCTGTGCCATCTAAGTTTTTTACGAACTCCTATTTACCTGGATAATTGAATAAGTCGTTGAATTGCGAATTAGCACCTGGTAAATTTATTCTTGAAATAGTTGCATGTTTGGCTGTGACAGGTGTAGCAGTTCAATTTTGCAGAACACACAATTATTGCATCGCCATATGACCACGATGTGACTCGGACCGCAATTATGTGATTCGATGTCACATGCCTTATTCATTGGTATTTTATGTAATAGTGTTTTGCTTTTTTTTATAGTGCCACAAGGTGTTTTATGTCTAGATCCTAAAATTCCTGTCTAATTGACTGAGTCATCTGATCCAGCACATCAATGTTATCTCTTTAATTTCGCAAATTCTTATCCGCTAACAGTATTCACGACGTATTTTTTTATTGAGTGCAGCTGGTGTTCTTGTGCAATCTTGCAGAAAACTAAATCGTAGCAGCCAATACGACCCCGACGAGACTCGAACCCGCAATCTTCCGATTCGAAGTCAGACGCCTTATCCATTAGGCCACGGAGTCTTAAGTACATCTTCATCCTGTGCCATCTAATTTTTTTACGAATTCCTATTTACCTGGATAATTGAATAAGTCGATGGGTTCTGCACATCCCCATATTTGCGAATTAGCACCTGCTAAATTTATTCTTGAAATAGTTGCATGTTTGGCTGTGACAGGTGTAGCAGTTCAATTTTGCAGAACACACAATTATTGCATCGCCATATGACCACAATGTCACTCGGACCGCAATTATGTGATTCGATGTCACATGCCTTGTTCGTTGGTATTTTATGTTGTAATAGTATTTTGCGTTTTTTTTATAGTGCCACAATGTGTTTTATATGTCTAGATCCTAAAATTCCTGTCTAATTGACTGACTCATCTGATCCAGCACATCAATGTTATCTCTTTAATTTCGCAAATTCTTATCCGCTAATAGTATTCACCACGTATTTTTTTATTGAGTGCTGCTGGTGTTCTTGTGCAATCTTGCAGAAAACTAAATCGTAGCAGCCAATACGACCCCGACGGAACTCGAACCCGCAATCTTCTGATTCGAAGTCAGACGCCTTATCCCTTAGGCCACGGAGTCTTAAGTACATCTTCATCCTGTTCCATCTAATTTTTTTTACGAATTCCTATTTACCTGGATAATTGAATATGCCTTTGTGTTCTGCACATTCCCATATTTGCGAATTAGCACCTTGTGAATTTATTCTTGAAATAGTTTCATGTTTGGCTGTGACAGGTGTGGCAGTTCAATTTTGCAGAACACACAATTATTGCGTCGCCATACGACCACGATGTAACTCGGACCGCAATTATGTGATTCGATGTCACATGCCTTATTCATTGGTATTTTATGTAATAGTGTTTTGCGTTTTTTTTATAGTGCCACAAGGTGTTTTATATGTCTAGATCCTAAAATTCCTGTATAATTGACTGACTCATCTGATCCAGCTCATCAATGTTATCTCTTTAATTTTGCAAATTTTTATCCGCTAATAGTATTCACCATGTAGTTTTTTTATTGAGTGCTGCTGGTGTTCTTGTGCAATCTTGCAGAAAACTAAATCGTAGCAGCCAATACGACCCCGACGGGACTCGAACCCGCAATCTTCTGATTCGAAGTCAGACGCCTTATCGATTAGGCCACGGAGTCTTAAGAACATCTTCATCCTGTGCCATCTAATTTTCTTACGAATTCCTATTTACCTCGATAGTTGAATAAGTCGTTGGGTTCTGCACATCCCCATATTTGCGAATTGCGAATTTGCACCTGCTAAATTTATTCTTGAAATAGTTGCATGTTTGGCTGTGACAGGTGTAGCAGTTCAATTTTCCAGAACACACAATTATTGCATCGCCATATGACCACTATGTGACTCGGACCGCAATTATGTGATTCGATGTCACATGCCTTATTCGTTGGTATTTTATGTAATAGTAGTTTGCGTTTTTTTTTTTATAGTGCCACAAGGTGTTTTATGTGTCTAGATCCTAAAATTCCTGTCAAATTGACTGAGTCATCTGATCCAGCACATCAATGTTATTTCATTAATTTCGCAAATTCTTATCCGCTAACAGTATTCACGACGTATTTTTTTATTGAGTGCAGCTGGTGTTCTTGTGCAATCTTGCAGAAAACTAAATCGAATTTGCGAATTAGCACCTTGTGAATTTATTCTTGAAATAGTTTCATGTTTGGCTGTGACAGGTGTAGCAGTTCAATTTTGCAGAACACACAATTATTGCGTCGCCATACGACCACGATGTAACTCGGACCGCAATTATGTGATTCGATGTCACATGCCTTATTCGTTGGTATTTTATGTTGTAATAGTATTTTGCGTTTTTTTATAGTGCCACAAGGTGTTTTATATGTCTAGATCCTAAAATTCCTGTCTAATTGACTGACTCATCTGATCCAGCTCATCAATGTTATCTCTTTAATTTTGCAAATTTTTATCCGCTAATAGTATTCACCATGTATTTTTTTATTGAGTGCTGCTGGTGTTCTTGTGCAATCTTGCAGAAAACTAAATCGAAGCAGCCAATACGACCCCGACGGGACTCGAACCCGCAATCTTCTGATTCGAAGTCAGACGCCTTATCCATTAGGCCACGGAGTCTTAAGTACATCTTCATCCTGTGCCATCTAATTTTTTTACGAATTCCTATTTACCTGGATAGTTGAATTAGTCGTTGGGTTCTGCACATCCCCATATTTGCGAATTAGCACCTGGTAAATTTATTCTTGAAATAGTTGCATGTTTGGCTGTGACAGGTGTAGCAGTTCAATTTTGCAGAACACACAATTATTGCATCGCCATATGACCACAATGTCACTGGGACCGCAATTATGTAATTCGATGTCACATGCCTTATTCGTTGGTATTTTATGTTGCAATAGTATTTTGCGTTTTTTTTATAGTGCCACAAGGTGTTTTATATGTCTAGATCCTAAAATTCCTGTATAATTGACTGACTCATCTGATCCAGCTCATCAATGTTATCTCTTTAATTTTGCAAATTTTTATCCGCTAATAGTATTCACCATGTATTTTTGTATTGAGTGCTGCTGGTGTTCTTGTGCAATCTTGCAGAAAACTAAATCGTAGCAGCCAATACGACCCCGACGGGACTCGAACCCGCAATCTTCTGATTCGAAGTCAGACGCCTTATCCATTAGGCCACGGAGTCTTAAGTACATCTTCATCCTGTGCCATCTAATTTTTTTACGAATTCCTATTTACCTGGATAATTGAAAAAGTCGTTGGGTTCTGTACATCCCCATTTTTATAGTGCCACAAGGTGTTTTATATGTCTAGATACTAAAATTCCTGTCTAATTGACTGACTCATCTGATGCAGCACATCAATGTTATCTCTTTAATTTCGCAAATTCTTATCCGCTAATAGTATTCACCATGTATTCTTTTATTGAGTGCTGGTGGTGTTCTTGTGGAATCTTGCAGAAAACTAAATCGTAGCAGCCCATACAACCCCGACGGGACTCGAACCCGAAATCTTCTGATTCGAAGTCCGACGCCTTATCCATTAGGCCACGGAGTCTTAAGTACATCTTCATCCTGTGCCATCTAATTTTTTACGAATTCCTATTTACCTGGATAATTGAATAAGTCGTTGGGTTCTGCACATCCCCATATTTGCGAATTTGCGAATTTGCACCTGCTAAATTTATTCTTGAAATAGTTGCATGTTTGGCTGTGACAGGTGTAGCAGTTCAATTTTGCAGAACGCACAATTATTGCATCGCCATATGACCACAATGTGACTCGGACCGCAATTATGTGATTCGATGTCACATGCCTTATTCGTTGGTATTTTATGTAATAGTATTTTGCGTTTTTTTTTTATAGTGCCACAAGGTGTTTTATGTGTCTAGATCCTAAAATTTCTTTCTAATTGACTGAGTTATCTGATCCAGCACATCAATGTTATCTCTTTAATTTCGCAAATTCTTATCCGCTAACAGTATTCACGACGTATTTTTTTATTAAGTGCTGCTGGTGTTCTTGTGCAATCTTGCAGAAAACTAAATCGTAGCAGCCCATACGACCCCGACGGGACTCGAACCCGCAATCTTCTGATTCGAAGTCAGACGCCTTATCCATTAGGCCACGGAGTCTTTAGTACATCTTCATCCTGTGCCATCTAATTTTTTTACGAATTCCTATTTACCTGGATAATTGAATAAGTCGTTGGGTTCTGCACATCCCCATATTTGCGAATTAGCACCTGCTAAATTTATTCTTGAAATAGTTGCATGTTTGGCTGTGACAGGTGTAGCAGTTCAATTTTGCAGAACACACAATTATTGCATCGCCATACGACCACAATGTGACTCGGACCGCAATTATGTGATTCGATGTCACATGCCTTATTCGTTGGTATTTTATGTAATAGTGTTTTGCGTTTTTTTATAGTGCCACAAGGTGTTTTATGTCTAGATCCTAAAATTCCTGTCTAATTGACTGACTCATCTGATCCAGCACATCAATGTTATCTCTTTAATTTCGCAAATTCTTATCCGCTAACAGTATTAATTAAGTGCAGCTGGTGTTCTTGTGCAATCTTGCAGAAAACTAAATCGTAGCAGCCAATACAACCACGACGGGACTCGAACCCGCAATCTTCTGATTCGAAGTCAGACGCCTTATCTATTAGGCCACGGAGTCTTAAGTACATTTTCATCCTGTGCCATCTAATTTTTTTTACGAATTCCTATTTACCTGAATAATTGAATATGTCGTTGAGTTCTGCACATCCCCATATTTGCGAATTAGCACCTGGTGAATTTATTCTTGAAATAGTTGCATGTTTAGCTGTGACAGGTGTAGCAGTTCAATTTTGCAGAACACACAATTATTGCATCGCCATATGACCACAATGTCACTCGGACCGCAATTATGTGATTCGATGTCACATGCCTTATTCGTTGGTATTTTATG